AGCTAGCTGGATGTCTCTTGCTATCAAAAGGAGTCCAAGGGAAGGGTAAGCTCTTCTCCAGAGTTACCAAGGAAAGACAAAGAGAGAAAAGGTGTGGGTGAGACAGATCACAGAGACCTGGTGTGATAAATAGATATCTGTGCTGTGCCAATTTCTTGTCATTGAGGGCTATTATTTAGGTGAACATCAGCCTGAAGTGACAACTACATTTTTCTTTGTAGTCCCTGGGTCAGATTACAAGCTTGTGGGCATGATTTCATGCTGGCAGAGTGGCGCTCAGTGAGGTGAGCATTGCTTATTGTGAGTGCCACTGCAAAACTCTTCTGAGGTCCCCTTCCAACCTGGTATTTTATGATTGCACAGCAAGAATTTTCTGCTGCTTCTTATAGGAGTTTTGCTTTCACTTTTATTTTGTCTTTCAAAAAAACAAAAATGAAAAAAAAATCTGTGGACTCATATAATGAGAGTCAAAATTGCGTCCACAGTTCCTCTCAGCTGAGCATGTACCACCATTAAGGTGATTTGTAATAAGATCATCTGACTCTTGAATAAATCTGTCTAACTGATACTTTAATCTTTACAGTGTCATGTCAAAAGCTTTCATGTTGGTCTGCATCTCTTTAGTTTCTTGTTTCCTCACTGGAACTGTCATGGGCCAGTGGGCCAGTCTTGGCACTTTTTTCCCCCCTTCGTATTTGAAGTAAATAGTCTTTTTCCAATTAATGTCTATGATAATGTACCCAGTGGAGAGGGAAAAAAGCCCCACCTTCTAGAAGATTCTGGTATTTCACACTGAGATTTTTTTTGAGAAGTAGTATTCAGCATATTAATAATGATGCTAACTCTTACACTGCTAGGGTTGAATCTGGATTTTCTAGTTCCAGATGTCTTTAAGTTCATTGTCTAGTTAAGTTTCCTTCACTGGGTTTCTATGACAGTCAGCAAAGAGAAGAAGCCACAGCGAGTGATTTCATTTTAAGTATAGGTCCACTGCTGTTTTCTTTCACCATCTTATCTAAACAGATAATACAGCCTTTGCATAATATATGCATAATATTGTCTTTGCTACAGTTGGAAATATCAAGAAGCAGACATGAAAATGACTTACACAGGATCATATTACCTTCAGGAAGGAGACTTTGCTTGCATGTGCTACCGTTCAGTCCTACATCATAATGATATGTATATCTGTCATCTAGGAGTTGATCAGGACTATCTTCCTGATCAGTTTACAGACACTTTTGCCCTGAGAAAGACATTGAAACCTGCATATGGTGACCCAGAAAGTACAGTAGTGTTTTTGAAAGGTTCTGATGTGCTTCGTGCTAGTCACCTCAGTGCACTGAGAGAGCATTTGCTCTTCCTTAGTGTCCTTTTTTTTTTTTATTTTCACAGCATTTTTTTCAAGAGAGGGTGTATGTGTGCGGGGCTGTAGTGTAATCTTTGTCTGCTGAATGACACAACTTTTGAGTCATTGCTCCTAAGTTTATGGTACAAACTTTCTACTAAACTTTTGGTCTTTCTCATTGAACTGATGTGTATAGTCAGTAGTAGCTTAAGGAAAGCATTTCACAATCTTTTAGAACTGAAGCAACAAAACATTGAGGTGTGGTTTTGATATGGAGTGAGAAAATCAGGCAAGAACTATTCACAACTCTTCACTGATACTTTTTATATTACACAGGGCAGTTTCCTTTAAGCTAGACTTATTTCTGGCTAAATCTTTGTTTTGCTCAGCATACTGTGCCCTTTTCTTAATTTTGATGTGCTTTTTTTTTATTTTGTTGCATCTTGCTGCTGATCCAGATTAAAATGAACCCTTCACTTAGGTTCCTTAAGATTGTGTTTCAAGGTAGAGGAAAATACTTTCCAAATTGCACTGTTGTTTTTCAGATCAGAAAGCAGCTAGGACATCGAAACTTATCAGTAGAGAAGGTTTGGTGCAATTCCCAGAGGGAAAAACAGCTCTCCTGTGTTGTGACACCTATGTCAAAATCAAGTCCTGAGTGTACATATTTGATTCCACATAGTCTACAGTTAGAACTGAATTTTTGCCAGTCTCTCAAGCTAAAGCTGACATGGAGCAGCTTTTGCCTTCTTGAGTTCCCAAAATAGCTGTCTTAAAATTGATCCAGATGAGGCTCAGGTGATACAGGAGGTAACACAGAAGTGAAAAGCTTCTGTCTTGCCCGGTGTATAACTCATCTAAGCCTAGGGTGCCAAACTGGACTCCAATATCACCATTGTGATATATTACCACTATTGTCAATACTGCACTTTGTGTTCTCATTTGTTGAATAATCCTATTTAATGTTCAGAAATGTCAGTTTACACTGAAATCCAGTTTTCTGGTAGGTCCCAGTGATTGAAGTCTGACTCCTGCTGGGACAGGGCAGAACAGTTGTGTGCTGGGATCTTTCTGCCTCTTTTTGTTGCTTTGTGTCCTCATAACTGTCTCCAGGACACAGTCTCTCATGCTGAACATGTGCATTGGTCCAGGTTTTTACCAAGTGGATAGCCTGCCTCTTAGGCTGGCCTAAATCATGATGTACTAACCACAATAATTTTCATCTTTCCTGAGGAATTTCACCATGTGCAGTCCAGACAGCCTTTACTTCATGTCTCTCTCCAGAGTTCATTTCACATCTACTATATTTCCACTGTCTTGACGTTTGATTAAGAGTTTATATCTGTACTGTGATGCTAATTGCATTATCCCTGAGTAATCTAAGACCTGCAGACTGACATTTGATTTTCAGTGGAATAGTAACTGGGGAAGAGGTCTGCTTTGTCTTCACAAATATTATATTCAGATCAAATATATATTGTCATATGTTACCATTTTATTTGGGCAAGGATAGGCTAGAAAGTTCCTGAAAGAGGGAAAATAATTCTCTATTCCTATGAAGTGGTGTTGGGGTGCTGGGCAAAGCAGTGCAGGTATGTGGCAGAGAACTTGGACTTCCACACCAGGGAAGGAAACGTAATGAGGCTGACAGAAACCCAAGAGGATAACCTATAAGGAACTGGGAAGTTCCTTTCCAGCTCCTGGAGAGAAATCTGGGTTAAAGCTTTTTAGGGATGTTTACTGTTCCCTGATGTCCCAGGAGCTCAGTTAGGAGTTTAGAGTGCTGAGTTGAGGTGTGTTTTGTCAGAGAGCAAGTGCAAATCCATGCCAGAAATTTCCTCAAAAAATGAATCTTCCATATGGCTTGTGGGAGATATCTAGGCTATGTTTTGACCTTATATTTCAGGCTCTGTTGCTGCTCACCATGGCAATGAGAACATAAGTGGGGAAATGCTGTTGGTAAATAAGTACTGATACCTTTGATTCAACTGCATCACTGGGCAGGTGACTAAGAGTGTCTGAAGCACAGAGCTGTTGCTCTGGGAAGGGAGCCAGGCAGTTAAAGGTGTATGGGGAGACAGAAGGCCAGATAGCAGCACCTGCATAAGATCAGAGAGAAGGGCTCAACTTTATAAGATGAAGATATGTGGGGATGTGTCTTTTCTGACACTTGGGGTTTTTTTTTCCTCCCCTGGCTTATTAAGTTCAAATGAACAAATAAAATATGTTCTCTTTCAGATGTAGCTCAGCTGAGTCACTCCATTTCATAACAGTCAGAAGTGCCCAGAAAGTTTGTTGTAGCTGGATTCAGGCCCATGGGGACTTGCTTAGATAAATATACTTGGTGGAAAGAGGAGTGTTTAGAGCTTCCCAACTCCGCCTGCCTTTGCGAAGAACAAAAGCTGAGAGTCCCTTGCTTGTAGAGGCTGCACGGGGAAAATAAGAGAGTAACTTGAGTAAGGCACCCCATCCACTCATCACTCCTTCATGAGAAGATGTTCTCTGCAGATATGTACATCTTAAACATGTGGGGAGTTTTGTTGTTTGTGTTTTTTTTCCCAAACACATTTCAGAATCCAAGCCAGCTGCTACAGCTTCTTCCCTTCAGCAAAACCACTTCAAACCATGTTGAGGTTTTGTGGCTCTTCATAGCTGTGAACATACAGCCAATTTCCTCACATTGCAAGGTAATTTTAGCAACAGCTGATTCCAAGTGGTTCCACAAATGTCCTCATCTTTTGTCTCCCATTTGTTTACTCCTCAGTTCTTCCTTCCAAGCACATTGTTCCGTCCTGTTAGCATAGCAAAGTGAGTTGTGAGCCCCAGCTAGGGTATATCAGTGCTAATGGAGGAGAGTGGAGGAATGCTTGAGGATAGCACAATCTAGAATTTAACCCAGTCATTTCTGTTTTCTAGAATGAAGGTTTCAGGTTAGAGCATGTGTTTTCAGAAGCATATTGCTTCTTTGCATGCCTGTGATCTGAGCATGGAGCATCAGCAGTCAGAGCCTGCAAACAGCCTCATGCATTAGGAAATCTAGGCTGTGCTGCTTGTTTACTTTGAGTATAAATGTCATCTTGGCAAGTGATCTCCCCTCTTGCATACACAAAGTTTGTAATTTGATTGCTGAGCTTAAATGGCATAGGCTGGATAATGAATTTTAAAGTTTGTGCTTCTGTTCTTTAGTGACCCTTGTGCACGTGATGTGAAAGCACAAATCAAGTCGGTGTTTTTTGAAGCTCCTTTCGGGTGTTCAGTTACAGTGTCAAGCTAATCAGAGTGATTTGACATTTTGATATTGCATAGATGAACTAAGGAGAAAAAAAAATTATTATTGTAATTTTTAATGCAGACAGAACATGGACTAGTCTAAATAATGGCTCCTGGCTATGGCATCTTGTCAGAGGGTCTACTTGCATTGTTCGTTAATAGCAGTTACTACTACTATGCTGACATTTGGGACCAACACAATACTTTACAAATAATGAGTGCTAGAAAAAATAGATTGACATTCAGCAGTTAATATTGTTCTATGCCTTGAAAGGTACCTCAATTTTATTTTATTTTATTTTTTAGAATGAAACTAAAACTTCCACAATAAATCATTATGACATTGGTAATAATTTAATTTTTCCGTTTAGGTTGTATATAGACACTCTTTGCATTTTTTTTCTTCCAAGTGATTTGGGAAATAAGACAAGCCCGAAGTGTCCTGACGCCTGATAGAGATGGTATTCCAGAATAAATGGGTAAAGTCACAGAGAAAGCACATGTTTATGGGGGGGTGGGGGAAGTAGCAAAAGGTAACTAAATGTATCCAGCTGTAAGGTTGTGAGAATAATTTTCATGTTGTGTCTGCTACGCCTTTGAAATCTACGTTGCAGGCACAAAATCAGAGGTGTGAAAAGGATTGCTTTCCCTCACTACAGCTGACTTGTTTTCAGTAGGAAATTACAATTTGTATAATTCTTTCTCACTTATCAGTCATTAATGAAGTAATCTGTGTGATTTCCTCATGTTATCAGACAAGAATTAATAAACTGTATTGTCAGTGTTCTTGATGTTATATTTCTTTGACTACAGTGTATTTTATCTACAGCACAGGTGTGTCTTGGTGGTTTTTGGTTACAGTAGAACTAGTACTACCCATTACAAATGTTCCTCCTTCACTGTGGTGCCATCATTACCTTAGTTCCTCGGGGAACATCCCTTTTTCAAAGGAAAAAAAAATTCAATCACAATCCCACTCATATCCTTTTTGTGGTATTACTTTTTTTTTTACATGTTTCCATATCCCTCTTTAATGAAGTGCAAAGTCGAGCTCTGCTTTACACAGTGCACTTTTAGCAAGCCCTTTGTTTCAAGTAGTCTGACTGTGAAGTGTTTTAGTTTTGTGAGAAACCTTTTCTAGTTACCTCATTGCTACACAGGTGAAAAAAGTGGTGTGTCCTTTAGAGAGCTTTCTCAGTGTTCCCCGTGATGGATGCAGTGTTTTCCAGCTGAGATTGATCAGGTGTTTGTAACACCAGGAAATGGGCATGATGGGGTCTTCAAAATCACACACTTTTGGTGTAGAAAGTTTTCAAACTTTTCAAGCTGAGCTGTCTTCTGTGGGTGTGGTGGAAGCATTTTATGGTAATTTTGTGAATTTTTTTGTCAGCTTTGCAGACTGAGATGGATCGAGCCTGAGAACTAACCTGTGTAATGAATATAGCCTGCATTTTGCAGTGTTATGCCAAAGTGTGGATTTGGGCTGAAGGATGGCTGTGTTTTGCCAGTGTTTTGGAGCATGAGCAGTTGAACTTTACATTTTGCAAGCCGTAAAGTGTGCTGCTAACAAATGCTCTATTGCATGAGCCTCTAGTGCAGTGTGTACTCAGAAAAAGACTCTTAGATTGAATTACTTTGGAAAAGGAGTCTGTCTAAAAGAAAGTCTTCTCACTCATTACAGTTAGTTGTCTTTCCTTTTGCCCTCTTTGGCTGGGTACTAGGGACCCATAGCTAGAGGGACCCCCATACACAGTTCAGCATCGGAGGAAGCTGCTTTTCAGCTACTCCTCTTGTTCCCTTCAAACTGTGAATCGTTTTCTTCCTGTGCTAATGTACAGGAAGGACCCATTCTGTAACTTCAACCTAGGGATTATGTCTGTACCTATCCTCCTTTAAACACAGTTTCCTTATAAAGGAGAAAGTGCTTGGAGGGAGTGAATTTCATGGGGTATCTCCTCTGCAAGTCAAGAAGGAGTGAGCAGAGCCTCCATCCAGCAAATGGTGCACACATCAAAATAGTGATCCTGAGGTCATGTGCTTCTTAAAAGAAGGAAATGCAAAATGATGCTGTGAGATCGCAACCAAGGCATTTGCCTCACATTTGCTCCTCAAATTCCTTCTAGATGCCCCTGTGTGACAGATTGGTGTGAAATTCCAGATCTACCAACAGCTGAGGAACCTCACTGTGTAGCTGCAATATTTGCACGGTATTTACTTTTAGGCTCCTACTTTTGAAGGCTGGATGAAATCCTGGAGTTCTAATTTCAAGGTATTTACCATTTTCTTCCCCTTCTTCCTCTGGGCTGAAGTCATAGTTTGTATCACATTAAAAGTTTCCAGGCTTATTGCCAGCACTAATATGTTGTTTCAGTAGAGCAGCCAAGCTGGTTCTGCCAGAGCCTCTGAAATGACCTGTGCATCTCTTAGGGAGAACGAAGAAGCTATGGGCCACATCTGGTATTTGATGCCTTGCTGTCACAACAGAGTCACTGAGGCCCCAAGTGGACCTGACTTCCACTGTGCAAAGTGCTGAACAGCAAGGAACATCATTGTTCTGCAGAGGCTTATTTGGTGGTGATACAAATGGGTAGAAAGAACACCTAAAGAGCGTTCAGGGACTGCTAGGAATCTGTATAACTTTCCTCTGGAATAGACCCCACTGCCTGGGAGCCTGGACATTCTGAAGGGAATGCAGCAAGACCCCATGTAGAGCAGTTGGCTCTGACATCACTGATAATGATGGTAATGTATGCTACTTGAAGCTGGGGTGAAATGGCTTTATTTGTTTAACCATTTGTTTGCAATAGATTCTCACCATCTTTTTCTTTTATCTACGTATTACTTTTATATCCACATGCCACTTTTTGCTGTTTTAACAACTTCTCAAAAGATTGCTATTTTTAGACTTGTAATAATGGATGTATGCATGACTCCTCAGCTGGCAAGCAACTTGTTAACTCAGATTGGTGCTTGGTTCTTGCCTTTTTTTTTTTAATATTTCCAGTCAACTGTACATTTTTGAGGTAGAATACCTGAGATAAAGCAGAAGCGTATGTATAAAACCAAAAGGGAGGTCAGGAACATCTGGTTTTCATTATATTTTTTCCATTTTCTGCTGAGTGCATCTTGGATGTGTTGGACTTGCTGGAGATACATTGAACCATTGCACTGCACAGGTTGCCTGATATCCAGTAATCCTGTAAAAGTGACTGAAATCACTAATAAAATGAATAAACAGTAGGACACTGGATTAGTCTTACAGGCAGCAAGTCAGTTATCAGGAGGGTTCTCACTTCCTGGCATGTTACCTCTGTTGAGTCGTAGTTTTCTGCAGTAATGAAGACACTGTAATTATGTAAAATAAGTTAGTTGGCATAGTGTGATTGAGAGCTCTTCAGCAAATAGTCATGCAGAACAGGAGGTCTGGGGCATAGATAATTTGCTCCAGCCACCCACTGGCATCTGACAGACTAGGTGGTTAAGTTAGACAGGTAAATTCCCTGGGGTCCCAGCAGGAATCTGATTCTTGCTGTGGGTAGATGAAGTCTAGGAGATAATTCAGCAGGAGCCTGAGATCTCTAGGTAATGTGAGTAGATCTTTCAGCATGCATATCTCCTAAAGTAAACAAGGGAGAGTTCTGCCTATGATTGTCTAGAAGATAATTATGTTCTTTGAATTTTTCAGTTATTTACATATAATACACATGTGTTTGTCCTTTTTGACTGCAACTTAATAGAATCAGACGAAGGACTAATTAAGAAGAGTACCTATTGGAAATGGCTGTTCCCTTTCAGAAGGAGTTAAAAGAAGTACCTAAACAGGTAGAAGCATGTGGCTTCTCTGGCAAGGAGATGGAAAAACACCAATTTTGAAGCAATGGTCAAAACCATGGTAAAAATCCAGAGGAATAATGAAGAAAACTAACAGTTCCCAAATAGGAGAATTGTTTGTTGTGCATATCTGTTGCAAAATAAAAATGTATGCTTAGGGAATAGGTGGATCATCAAAATCACAAAAGTTAATAGTATTTCTCTGCTATACAAGTTTTTTTGCACCTTCCAAAACATTTGGTATCCTCTATGAGTTGCAATATAAACCATTGAATAGATGGCTGCTCTATTGAGCAGCTTCTCTTATCTATATTTTCCTTTAAAAACACAGGGATTTCCCTCAGCTTCTCCAGTTTCACTGAGGTTTTTGTCATGCTTTCAATGCAAAGTCAAACCAAGTTCATTGTCAAGGGTAGGTACCAGAGGAGAGAATTAAATTACCACAATCCTTCTCACCTAGTGCTTAAAAGTTATTCCTCTGTGTGAGTTTTGTTTAAATCAGATATGACTTGCTTTTTCTCACTTGCTCCACATCCACATGCTGACACCAATTTGTTCATATTTCATTCTTTTCTGTAGGATTTTTCAGCTGCTGTTTTCCAACTAACATCTTCCATGAACTGTTGCTTTCCTCCTCTTTTAGACAAGAAACTGATAAATTCTCTTGGCATTTGTTCTTATAGGTGACAGTCCTGAAAAACTGCCTGTACACTGACTGCAGCTTGGAAAAGGAGATGCTTTCACATCAGTAGGAGAATGATTATTGTTTTAGGGACATTTGTAGTGAGACATTTCATTGCCATCTCTAATAGGCCTTGTGGAACCCTTTTTCTGTGATAATAGAACTATATAAGGAAAGGAAGTAGTGGAGGTTTAATGATAAAAGAAATATAGGATCCTTCAGGTATTTCATTAGAGCTGGAACACCTCTCCTATGAAGACAGGCTGAGAGAGTTGGTATTGTTCAGCCTGGAGAAGAGAAGGTTCCGGGGAGACTTTATAGCACCTTCTCGTACCTAAGGGGAGCCTACAAGAGAGCTGGAGAGAGACTTTTTACAAAGGACCTGTAAGGATAGGACAAAGAGGAATGACTTTAAACTGAAAGAGAGTAGATTTAGATTAGATGTTAGGAAGAAATTCCTCCCCGTGAGGGTGGTGAGGCACTGGAACAGATTGCCCAGAGAACTTGTGGCTGCCCCATCCACTACAGTGTTCAAGGTCGGGTTGGATGGGGCTTTGAGCAACCTAGTCTAGTGGAAGGTGTCTCTGCCTGTGGCAGGGGGTTGAACTAGGTGATCTTTAAGGTCCCTTCTAAACCCAAACCATTCTATGATTAAAATGGTTCTATAACTCTATATCTACTCCTCAGCTGAGTGTTACAGGTTATTAACAACAAAATCAATAGGAGAAGTTGGTTATTACTGTAAGGAATTTACATTTTTAGACCTGTAATCCAGAATGTGTTGCATGATTACACTAAACCCTTCAGAGAAATTAATAGGACAATGTACACTTGTAAGAGACTACAGAACACAGCCACATTTCCTTTCCTACGGATTAGAAAACAGGCAGACTAGAGGGCACTGGCTTGAGGGCAGGAATATCTTCCTCTGAGTTTAACTGCTATGGGTTCTTGTTGAAAATAGTATGATTTTAATATTCTACAGAAATCTGTATTAAAAGGAGGGAAAGGGAGAAATCCATAAAGGCACAGCAGCAACTGATTCTTTTTATTTCAGTAGTTTATGTAGTTGTGCCAGCACACTTTCTAGCCAATCTTTGTTGCAATAAAAAATAATGGTATCATTTGCAGGCAGGTTTCCATATGCAGAGAAACAAAGATGTAGTAGCATGAAGCTTCATCTCATAAGGAAATTTCTTCAAATATTCTTGTAGGCTGTGAGATTATAATTTTTTTTCCTATTGCTGTTTTCTGAAAAGCTTTACACCTAATTGCAGGAAAATGTTTTCTTAAAAAAAAGAAAAAAATTAACTATCCTTTAAAAAAAATGGTTTAGTTTGTGTCAACTTTGATACATGATTTGGTAAATCAAACCAAGCCAGATACCTTTCTAGTACAGTGAGGAAAAGTGTTATAGAGCAAGTTCATATTGTGAGTTTCACAACTTTGAATGAAACATGTTTTGCTTCTGATTGAAGCCTGAAGTTGTTTCAAGGGATAGGCTCTTTGGAACTTTTCAGAAAATGCTGTCCTGACTGCAGGGTGTACTTCTCTTATGTAACAAAAGGGGAAAAATAGATAGCTTTTACTGGCAAGGGAAACTGGCTTTACTTATCAATCATCTCTGTGTTAGAGAACCAGGATGCTTCTTGCATGAACTGTTAACATTTAATGTGTTTCTAGCTGAATGGCTGGCTTTTTAAGAGCTATTGTCAACTATGCAGTAACTGCAATTAAAATCTCCTTAATAAACTACAGTTTTTAACCCAGAAACCAATAGAGTCAATGAGGGAACTGAAATTTCATGACCAATGAGAAATTACATTTATGGCTGTAATTTAGCATATCAAACAGGTGTAAAGTAGTATATCAGACTGATTGTTTGAATTGAGGTATCTCATAAAGAAATTAAAAGCATAGATCCCATTTCCAATATGATTTGAGTATCAGAGATGAAAACTCAGAAACTGAAGTAACTTTGAGCAGGTATCTCACTAACACTTGAAAATGTGGCTTGGTTTACTTAACTAAAGGATATAGAAATGTGATGACATTTTTCATGAAATTAAAAGAATAATTTTTCTTATAGCCATTTGACCAAAAGCAGTTTTCTGTGGGCCTGTGTGCAGTCTGCCACCTTCAAAGAAACCCACAAAACCTGTCCTGAAGTGGAAACTTGAAGCACTATGATTTGTTAAGTTAAAACAAAGTAGGCATTCTCAACCTATTGAAATATTTTATTTAAAAATAAATCCATATAAGTGATAAAGTATCATACAAAGATAAATATCTTTATTCTGTTAAAATTAATTGGCCTGAATAGGTCAATTGTAGATAGCTGTATTTTGCAGGATAGTTCTTCATTTTTTGATTGTCCTCAGGGTTTTTTTCAATTCCTTTTTGGAAGAAGAATTTAATGGCCAAGTAGATAGAAGACCCTACAATAGTAAAGATAGAAAACCTTCCTTTCTTTTCCTCTCTGCCTAGACCTTTTCTGCAGAGACTTTGCTATGATTTATCTTTTCAAGTTCCCATAATAAAGAATTGGCTAGTTTAATGATGAAGGTGAAGTTGGAAAGATTCAAGTATTGTGTAAGCCCAAAATAAAAAAAAAAACAAAAGAAAAAGATATTTGGAAACTTTTGCTAGAAAGAGAAAAAATGTTTCACTGAAACAACTGAAAGAGAGCGGGCTTTTCAAAGAATTGCTGGGCGACTCTTTCCTGGTATATCAAGAAAATGTTTGTCTTTGACAAA